TTATAAACCCTTTTTGCTTTAGGCCTCCACCGCCATGTACAAAACAAAAAAAAAAAAGGTTCAGTCAATTTCAACTTTTTGCGGGAAAAAAAAAGATCTTGTAAAGTTGGAATTGATTGATTGAACTTTTTAGTCCCATCCAGTCTGCTGTTACCACTGCAGCCACGCCCACCCAATGGGCCACACCCAGCCAATGGGCCACGCACACCCGGCACCCGACGATACATAAGTGGGTTTTGGGTTGCAATTTGGGCACTCGGTCTCTAAAAGTTTCACCATCACTGTTCTAGGAGGTTGGAACGGGATGGGTTTAGAAAAATATTATGGAAATGATCAGGGCTATTTTATCAATTTAATTAATTGTGGCAATAACTGTCAAAGATTGTTTTTTTTTTCACAATTTCAAAGATCAGCCATTACTTTAAGAGCTGAACATTTTACATTCTGTTCCTTGGCAGTTGCCATTAGCATAAAAAGTCTCTACTCCACAAGCAGTTCTGTAAAAATGTGCATTGTATACGCCACTCTACTGTCTTATGGAAGTCTTACAGAAGACTTCAGTTTTATCAACAATGTCACAGGTGGGGTTTTCTATGGGATGAGAGAGGATCTCCTTAGGAGATTCAAATTGGTAGGGCTTGTATTCAGAATAATGGATCGAGGAACCATTTGTTCCTAAGAAGACTTGGACTTTCTAATTGTTCCATGAGTCTTTGTCCAGAATGATTCAAAGTTGTTCTTCTATTACTTTGAACTTTTCTTGGTAGAAGCTAAAATAAGATTTCCTGTATGTTAGTTTACTTTGAATCTGAGTTTAGGGAGCCTAATCAGTGAAACAAAGTAATATTACAATGTGTGGCAAGTAGCAAATTTCTGTACATATCCCTCTGCTTTTGCCAAGATAGAAATTGGAGAAATCCAATGAACTTTTCTTTTTTTAGGAAAAAACAAAGTCCAATTGCCTTTTGAAAAAGCACATTTGGGACATTGGCTGAGAGCAAATACTGCAATAAACCTTGACCATTTTAAAATCATACTGGAGCCAGTCATGTTTGCTTTCAACTAGCACTGAACTTGCATGATTATGACTTGTGTTTCAGGATCAATCTGTGGGATCTCTTCTCTGTTTCTCACATTCACAGCTGAATAACTCATGTTGAATCCTACACCAAAAGTACTCTTCATTAACAGCCCATGGAGTTAACAGAGTAACAGAGTTGAAAGGCAACTTGGAGGTCTTCTATTTCAACTCCTGTTCATGCAGGAAACTCTATATCATTTCAGGCAAATAGTTGTCCAATCTCTTTTTAAAAACCTCCAGTGTTGGAGCACCCACAACTTCTGAAGGCAAATCATTCCACTGATTAAGGACATTTCTCTGTAGTTCTAGGTTGTTTCTTTCCTTGATTAGTTTTTATCCATGCTTTGTCCTGCCTTCAGGTAGATTGGAAAATAGGTTCACCTCTTCTTTGTTGCAGCCTCTTAGATATTGGAACACTGCTTTCATATTATCCCTACTTCTTCTTTTTCATTAAATTAGACATCCCCAATTCACGCAACTGTTCTTTGTATGTTTTAGCCTCCAGTCCCCCATTCACCTTTGTGGTTCTTCTCTCAACTCTTCTTAAAGTCTCAACATCTTTTTGGGCAGCTGCAACACACTTCTGCTCATATTTAAGTGTTAAGTTATTTAAGTATTTAGGGTTTTTTTAAGAGTTTAAGTATTCAGTTATTTAAGAGTTAAGTCCTAGTACTATTTGCTTTCTTATTAGAAACCTTTCTATAGTAATGGAAAGTTGTGTATTTTTAACAAACACAAGTTGACCAGGTCAGCCCAAAAACCAAGCCACCAGTCTGATGAACAGAGACAGACAGAGCAGCAAACAAGACAAATAAATATTAACAAATAATAAATGTTCTATCCATTTTCTATATAATCCATCTAATGTCTTTCAACTTGTTCTAATAAATAGTCTCTAAGTTAATATTACACAAATTTGTTAAGCGTAATTTAGATGTATGAATTTTGAAATAACTGTCCTTTAAAGTGTAGTATCAAATCATATAAACTTAAAATACCTGTAGAAATTCTACCCTGAATTTTTATCTAACAATTTAGAGTTAAATTGTTAAAACCCAATAGAGGACTTTATTTTCTATTTATTGCAGGAGCTTTCTAGAGAGAAATCAGTAAATACAATAAGGAGGAATGGTAGTAAAAATACCCAAATCATTATGACTGTCTTATTGGAATTCATCTTAAAAATTTAAGTGTATGCTATATCTATGGGTCCGCAATAAATGCATGTGCTGCAGTTTAAGTATTAAAGAAGTTGAAAAACCAAGGGCTGTTTTATTTCTAATCAGAAAAATTCCAAAATTCCTATTAGACAATTTATTTTACTATGCCGATAAAAAAGAAAATCAAAACAAAAGAGAACTGTTTGCCGGTTTTTAAATTCACTTAAGCTCTTCATCAAACTAGGTGTCAAATAAAGGAAAATGGAAAAATGCTGAAGCCTGGAGACTGCATTAAGTCTGGCTATTAAGATGGAATACTGATAATAGAATGCAATGTAATTGTCTAGTAAGTACTATGCAAATTTCAGAATGCATTTAAAACTATAGGATCAAAACATACAATGGTGGATGTTCTTTTCTAAAAATACACTATCCAGACGTGATCCAGATTTCTATCTTCATCATCCAGAAAAATCTGTACAATGTGTTTGTTAAAAGCTATATACAATGTAGGCTGATTGTGAGTAAGCATGATAAGTAGCATTTTTAACTGACAGGGTTATGAGTTCATTCATCATAAAACACTGTAATATAAAGAAAGATACTACCGTATATGCCAGCGTATAAGGCGACTTCCGCAAGCATTAAAATCGGCACCAAAGACTGGGGTCGTCTTTTACGCCGAGTCGTCTTATACGCCGGAAATACTGGTAGTTTCCGGCGTATAAGACGACGTTCTAGGAATGCGACTCGGCGACAAAGATGGGGGTCATCTTATACGCCGGGTCACCTTGTACGCCGGCATATACGGTATATCCACTACTGTTTTTAATGAGATTTTTAACTAAATAAATTCAATAGCATTTTATTATAATAATGTGACATTTAGCATCAAAGAAAGTTATTATACATTTTTGTAATATTAATTATTGGTATTTCAATTCATAATAGCTGCCTTTGAAAAGTTAAATATTTCCCAGTGAAATCTGGTTTAATTGGTTACCGAATGTAAACAGTTTTATTTTTTGCTATTTATCTAACAAAATTAAAAACCAGAATCAGAATTCAAATGTATATTTCATATCCAGTTACTTTTAGGACTAAGATAGTTATGCTTTCGTCTATAACCACTTAGTAAAGGACCAAATTTAAGAAACAGTACAACCATCATTTACTGTCAATTTTGTTAGTTTCATAGTTCCACTTATACTTTGCATCTCTTCTCTTTTGGATTTCCAAATCTGTTTTGTTTGAATGGTTTATTACTGGGAGGAGGTGAACAGCCTCCATGAATCTGGAGACCCCCAGATTTTTTGGGGACCACACCCTAGGCTAGTGGTGGCGAACCTATGGCAGGGGTGCGGGGTGCCAGAGGCGGCACTCGGAGCCCTCTCCGTAGGCACATGTGCCATTGCCCCAGCCTTGCCTCCTCCCATGACCCCCTCCTCTCCAGCAGCCCCCCTGAAGGAGAGTCGCCCTCGAGTGTGGCCCACATGGAGCAGCACAGCCAAGGACATGGTAGCCAGGCAGCGTAGACAAGACTCTGCCCTCATACCCCATCATGCAGTTGATGCTGCAGGATGTGGGCAGAGGGTGTGGCCGTCATAGCACTGCTGGGCTGCCTGGGTGATCTGCGGCGGGCCCTGGAAGCAGTGAGTGGTCCTGTGGGCAGGCGGGGTGGGGGATGGGAGGCGGAGCAGGGCCGGAGCAGGGAGGTGGAGCAGGGGCAGGGCCAGTTTTTGGGCATTCGGTCTCTAAAAGGTTTGCCATCACTGCCCTAGGCCATATAAATTGGAAATGTTATATGACAGTAGTAATAAAAAATAACAGAGGGGAAAAATCACAGAAGGCATCTGTAGATACTGTGGACATAAGGAATAAGCTGGTTTGTAATAGTACTCTTCAATTTAATATTAATAGAAGTTTAGAGAAATGAATTGCCAAACTGTATCTGTTTGTCTGTTCATGTGAAATAGCAGTTGAAAAATAAGGTTGATCAGGGTCTGGGATGTAATGAACCTCTATCCCTCTGAATTACAGTTACAATTAATAAATCACACTTATATACTGCATGCCACTAATATCCTTAACCATATATGAAGAACCCATTATTAACTGTTCTTTCTGATATCAGTTCAGGGGATAACAATAAAATAAAGATCTGGATCACATTTGAAAATGAAATAAAAATGAGTGTTGTATAAATCACATTTTAAAAATAATCTCATCCATCTCCTTACACACAATTTTATACAACTGTTACGGGAAGTATAAAGAATCATCCAACACTGGCTACACAATTTCATGTGATACTGAAGTCTTCCTGAGGGAGGAGGGAAATAGCAAGTTTTACTGTGATACAAATTGAATGATGAAATGCTTTCATCTTATATCTTAAAAACCATTTACAGTACTGTGACAGCTTCAATGATAACAGTTATCAGTAAAATTAAATATGGGGTATTTGCCATTTAATATAAAAAATATATAATTAATCTATTGAGGAATAATTCTTCTGAGAAGAAAAATTAATCTAATTTAACATGCTATCACTTTCTACGCCTTTTTGTTAATTACTGCATTAAGTGTAAGACACTTAAGGCAATGCACGTAGACTTGCTTTAAATTCACTTTGTAAAAAGTAGGTTCAAGGTGAATACCTAGAAAGATAACTTAAACAGCAGCTTTCACTTTTCTGTCCGTTATTATAAATATAAAGAACATTAAAATCACCCTTTATGATAAAGATCATTTCTTACCTTGATCAAAGGATGTAAGCGGACTCCATGTACGAAAATAATCATCCTGCAGCAGAAAAAGAAAGCACATGCTTAGAATGGGAAAAAGAGTGCAAATACATGAATGGGGAAAGACAGAAATGCATAAAAAATATATATACAAACCTCAACTTCCTGCACATGGTGCGCAGCAAAAGACACAAAGGAAAGATACAATTACCATATGGATACACTAATTGCAGGAAACACATCTTTTCTAATGAAAAATTGAAAGAATAAACAGCTACTCCAAAAACCAGAAGAAAAAAAAAAACTAAAATAGCTGAGATTTTAATTCAGCAGTTATATTTCAATAGCTTCCAAACCTTTCAATATGCCTTCTCATTTTATATCATTATCAACTATTCTAATTACACAAATTATCTTGTAAAAATATTAAATGTATGACTGGAAAACTTCTCACAGAAATGAAATTTCAATGTCAAATATCAATCCATCTACAAATCTATGGAGATTCTCGGTCATCCAGGTCATGGTTGTCCCAAAGGTGCTTTTCAGGAGGCAACTGGACTTTCTTGTTTTTCTTTGAAGATGTTTTGCTTCTTATCCAAGAATCTTTATTCATCCAGTCAGAGCTGAAGAAGCTTCTTGGATGAGAAGCGAAACATCTTCAAAGAAAAACAAGGAAGTCCATTTGCCTCCTGAAAAAGCACCTTTGGGACAATCCATCTACAAGCACTTGATCAGGATCAACAAAAACTAATCTGAGTACAAAGTAACATACTGTTAATGTAAGTGCTATTAATTTTAGTCGGCTTCACCTGTATAATTTATTATTTATTGATTTATATGGCCATCCTAACCCAAGGTGACTCTGGGCAGCATACTGAGATTAAAACACAAAAACCATATAATCCCTGGATCCCAAGGATAAAATGAAAACCTCATTCATAAGAGAAACAAATCAACAGCAGCAGAGTTCACCTAATCTCCTGACCTAAATACCTGAAGTCAGGTCTTCAGCATCTTGCTGAAGTCTAACAGGGTCAAGGCCATCCTGATCTCTTGGTAGATGCTTGTTCCACAGAGCAGATACTACCACTGAGAAGCAATAATTCTGGGTTTCAAAAAGATGAGACTGTTTGATAGAAGAGACCCAGACTGTGCTTTCTCAACTAGATCTGAGAGCAGGAACAATAGGAGAGGTGATCCCACAACTATCAACCCAATCTCCTTATAATTTGAATTATTTTCCTTTGCACTATTCTGAACTTTGGTACAATAACTAATATTTCAAATTTCAAATTCAGCCATTTGTCTGAAATGGTATAGGGTTTCCTGCCTGAGCAGAGGGTTGGACTAGATGACCTCCAAGGTCCCTTCCAACATCATTATTATTATTATTATTATTATTATTATTATTATTATTATTATTATTATTATTATTATTATTAAATATTTATGAGGTGGCCTAAAGAATTGTAGAAATAACTACAATTCTGATATTCCTAGACTTTGGAAAGCATCCAGAACTGAAGGCTATCGTGAAATAGTCTGGAAGCACTCTACACATATTTAAGCAATCATTTAGCAATCAATGTTCAGCTAAATATGTGTGAACATTACAACTTAACATTTAAAATCATACTGATAACTGCTGTTATTAACTCTGAAAAGATTACTTTCTTCACACAGATGCTATTTTGAAGAGAACAATGGGTCAATCATTTTGGAATATATCCATTCCTCATAAAATAAGGATACAGGTATTTCCAACAAATATGCAGAAAATTGCTTGAAGAAAATGATGCATACTGCTGCAAGGATTTCTATTGTCATTTTAGTTTAGAGACAGAAATCAGCTCCTAGCCAGAAACTTGACTGCAATAAATTGCTTAAGCCTCATACACATATTTCTAATGGACTTTATAATTCCAAATAATTAATAGCTAAGTAACTATGTATTAGTGAAGGTATACCAAAATTCTTTTTAAAACCATACTGGCTGAAAGCCTAGATTCAGCAATTATATAAGTGAAATTGCATTTAATATGAAATATGAAATCGCTGCTCTTTTAGAAGGAAAATTTCAATATGCAAAGCTGCAGATAATGTAGACATATATCAGATTAATTGTATTTTTCTGCTATCTAATCACTCGCATCTAAAATCATTTGTTATGTACAGTGAAAAAGACAAAAAGTCACATATTTATGGAGATGTCCTCAAAAAACTTTCAAAGAGCTGTCCAATCCTTTGCCAGATACAGCTGCCTCAATACTTCAGAAAAGACTTTGCTCACACGAATCTCCTTTATTAAATACTCTTCTGAGCACTTTGGTCAAATGTAATATGTAGTCATGAGTTTTACATAAATTACGTTTGCTGATATGAATTAAAAATGCTACATATTTCTAACGCACACCAAAGCATGCCATTGAGGTAACTGAGCAAAAGTCAAATTCTTACTGGCGATAGAGATGTTGTTGTTGATGTTGTTAAATGGAATACTTGTAAAGTGAGTTTTGCCCCATTTTACAACCTTTCTTACCAGGCTTCATGTGGAGTAAGTAAATACAATACAAGCCATCACTGTGCAGAAGCCATCTTTTTTAGAGAGCGCGAATACAACAGGAACAGGAAATGCATCACAGGAACAATAGAGATGAATCATAGAGTAGTAATGTGACACAGGAAACAAATACAATAGAGATGAATGATAAGAGCTGCATATAAGGTAAACATAACACCCATAACATCTTCCCCTTTTCATGTTAACCAAACAACATTATGAAATTTTGGATGAGAACTAGCAACAATACTTCCTATAGGTCAGTGGTGGGGAACCTATGGCACGGGTGCCAGAGGCGGTACTCAGGGCCCTCTCTGTGGGCACACGTGCTGTCGCCCCAGTCCTGGGCCTTCAGCTGGGTTTTATAAAACCTTTTTGCTTTAGGCTTCTGCCACCGTGTGCAAAAAAAAAAAAAAAAGGTTCAATCAGTCAATTTCAACTTCTCGTGGGAAAAAAAATCTTGCAAAGTTGGAACTGATTGATTGCACTTTTTAGTCCCACCCAGTCTGCCATTACCACCACAGCCACGCCCACCAAATGGGCATGCCCAGCCAATGGGCCACACCCAGCCAATGGGCCACACCCACCCGGCACCCAACGATGCATAAGTGGTTTTGAGTTGCAGTTTGGGCACTCGGTCTCTAAAAGGTTCGCCATCACTGCTATAGGTTAAGTCTGTTGGGTGGTTGTGAACATCTGCCACTACAGGTGAAGACTGGCCCTCTTTCTACTAAGAGTTTCTCCAACCTCGGTGAGGTTGCTGGGCTCTTCTCACCATTTACTGGGACATTTGACTGCTGTCAGGTATACATTAGCATTGGTCTGTGGCATCAATATGATGTGTTCCCTATTGTCAGTGGGTAAGTGTGGCCCAGTAATGCCAGGTGAATCTGGCCTGTCCACTGGTTATGGAGAATTAGGCTGCAAGTCAGGCTGCTCAGCCACACACAGATCCACGCAATTAATAATAATAATAGTAGTAGTAAAGTTGGAAGGGACCTTGGAGGTCATCTAGTCCAACGTCCTGCTCGGGCAGGAAACCCTACACCATTTGTGATGATAGAGGGTTCCATCAACATCCACTTCTTGTTAAGTGAATCACTGCAGTTGATAAATTAGTAATACAGTTATTAAGTCAATCTGGCTTCCCAATTATTTTGCTTATCAGATCAGAAGGTTGCAAAAGCTGATCACATAATCTTAGGACACACCGACAGTTATGAATATTAACCAATTACCAAGCATCCAAATTTTGAACACATGATCATGGGGATGCTGCAACGGTTGTAACTGAAAAACGGTCATAAGTCAACATTTTTCAGTGCCATTCTAACTTTGAGCGGTCACTAAATGAACTGTTGTAAGTCAAAGACTACCTGTATTCAGATCCATACATTTCATTTTATTTCTCCAAAACAAAACTATATGCACTAGAAATCACCACGCACTGTTAATACTCAAGATAATTAAGGCTTATGGAAGAAGGACTATGGACACTAAAAATGCAAAAGAAAATAACAACAATTTAATTTAATTATTTAATTTAATTTGTATTTCCAATAATGCCTCTAAACCTAACATAGATTTCAAAAATATTCTTATGGTTGATGGATGGCAATTGTCTACTGTTTTGCTTCTAACTGTCCAAATAAAAGGTAGGATGGAAGATAATATTTTAGGATGCTTGACTGAATGGTCTGGGGTGACCTTACTTATTGGTTAACCTTCTATAAGTGTTTTCATTATGCTGACCATAGCTGCCATTTTATGGCTGTCCTTAACTTTTTCAAAATTTTAAATGGGTTTATTTATTTTATTTATTTAGAAAATTTATATGGCTGCCCACTCACTTTACAAAAAATTATCATGGGTTAAGGAAGTATTTCTCAACAGAAGCTTTAAGATGAGTGGACTTCAACTCCCAGAATTCCAGAGCAAGCCACTAAAATTGCTAAGGTTGAGAAATATTGGATTAAGAGATTCTGGTTGAGTACATAAGAACACATGAATATGTACATTTTTCCATTACTATTTCCTTTCTTTTCTTTTTGCATGTAATTAAAAAAAAATGATCTTCCTGGATTTTGCAGAAGAATCAAGTGGATCTTGGGGAATGAGGGGAAGGAACTGGGAAAAAGAAAAGGAGTTTAATAAAGTAAACTGAAAATAGACTACACTGAAGAAAAAGTAAGTATATGTCTTGTATAAAAAAGTATTAGACTATTAGAATATCATAGAATGAATAGAAAATAAACAAAAGGAATGAGGGTAAAAATGACATGGAACACAGTGAAAATATAGTTTTATAGTGTTTCAAAAGTTATGATAATGAGAAATAAAGAGGTAACAATAACAAAATTAGTAAAATGCAGTATATTGATTTTATGTTGGGCAACAGATATGAGACAATATTTTTGTTGTTCAGAAGCATTAAGAAATTAATGAATTAAAAATGTTTGCTGCCTATTTATTGATAGGGAAAAAGTGAATAGGCTGGAATCATTTATTTATTAATTATCAAATTTCTATACTGCCTATCACACTTGGCTGATTCTGGTGATTTAATGGAATCTCTTCATGAATATTTAAGACTCCTGAATTA